GCATCATCATTTTTTGTTTCTGGTTCCATCACGTAGTTTAACTTGGGATCTGAAACTGGTGAGCATTGGTTGTTCGTCTTGACTGGCGACCACGGTGTGAGCGACCGGGGTGGACATGGCGGCTCCAGCCATGAGGAAATCAACACTGGCCTGCTTCTCCTCAGTTCGGTTACGAAGCGAATGACCAACATCACAAGGGTAGGTGAGAGTCTTTCTATCTTATTGGATATCCGCTGTTCCTAAACCCATAACCCAGGGTCCGCAGTAATGCTTAATTTTTGAGATGCGTTTGTCGCCGTTTTCTCCGCCTTTCCATTCATATATCTGCTTTTTAGCTTGACATTACCGTCGCGTAGCAACGAGCGTAGCAGTATTCTATACATAAAGTTTACTAAGCATGCGTTGTTCCCTCAATAGTGCTTATGCGTGTTTACGTTCCGTTATGCGAATTCGGTGCTTCGTGGTTGATTTAGGTCATTTCCCTTACACTTACACTTTGGTGTTGTAGTCCGTTTTATGCCCCCTCGCCTAACAGAACTACCTCGGTTCGTTTTCGTCTTGCTGCATCTGTATCCTCTTCTTTCTCTCTTTACACATTTTACCCGGTTATTGCCAACCATCAAATAAATATTGAGAGGACGATGCACACTTCCTACTCGTTAAGGTCTTATTTGCGATGCGCTTTTCGGTATAGGAAGATGGCACTATGCTGAATACGGTATCTTCAATGTTGCCCACGTTATAACGGCTTAAGATGCCTGTTCTTTCCACTACAAACCCCTATTGTTTACCCATAGGCTGTTCTACACTGTACTCATCTGCCATCGTTTCCTCTTCTTGCATTCACACGACTTCATCACACGCTAACTTTATTTGTTAACAATCCCTCTTAACGTTACCTGATTTCTGTGTTCATGGATCTGTCTGAGGTTCCGGTTGCATCAGAACCATGGAGTTCAATCTGTGGCTCTCCTTCGATCTCGATCCCTGTTCCGTCTGGCGTACTTCAACTTGCGGACACTCATGCAGATTGGATAACAATCCGGTCTAGCTCGCGCCATATAGTCCTCTCGATGTTGATGTCTGCTGCGTTTCCGGAACCCGATTGCATGATCCCAGCACTGTGCTTATGCTGACGTACCCCGCCGGCCACGGAGCCACATACCACCTGGAGATCCAGAAGCGACCTCATCTGGTTTGGATGGTGTAGGTACAGTGCCAAGTGGTAAGGCCGAGACTGCACTACTGGACTGGTTCCCGATCAACAACCGACTGTGTGCAGTTCAGCTTCGGGGTTCTTGTATAATCAACACAAGTCGCGGAGAGATAAGCGACATGTTTGTGCTCTTTGCATGCGCTCCAGCTGGCTGTTATATTTTTTCCGTCAAGGACGACATATCGAGAGCTTCATCAGCTCTTGCCTGATGTTAACAACTCGGATGTCCTTGCCCTCGCTGGGGATTTTAGTGTATGGGTTGACGGCCTGTTACCATATGAACCTCCCCTTGGTGGTCACCACGCGCCCGATCGGGACCGCTCGCATAACGGATAAAGACTTCTCACATTGTGCGAGGAAAACCATATTTCTCCAGCCATAGCAAGACTGGACGGTTTGTGTACTTCGTCTATCCATTGAGCTGTTCTGGGTGGTGCCTCCGGGCTCCTTTAAGCTTGCCAGTTTGCTCAATGGTTAGAGCTCAGACAAACTCAGTTTCTTGGTCCTCCAGGTTAGGGGTTTGAAATGGGATGGCGTCCATTTCTGTAAAACTGTATTGTTGCCACATCCGCTACCTTGCGGACAGGCTTTTGAGCCAAAGGCTCTAGTTGAGTACCCTAATCGTTCTCTTGTCTAGGTCTGGGCGACTTGGCTAGTTGATGTTGATTATACGGGCCATAGCGTCTTACTTTTTGACGATCTTGGGGCGGCCCAATCAATTCAGAATAGTTAGTTTAGAGTGGTCTCATTATTTGGTATGCGCTTCGCACCTTCAAAGTGTTGCTGCAGGACCACCAGCCACTTGGTGATCCCTTAACCTTTGATAACGAGGAGCTCGAGTAGTTTGATCGATTCACTTACCTTGGTAGCTACATCAGCCACCATGGTCACATAGAAACTGAAGTCACTTCACGTATTGCAAATGCCAGAACTACCTTCTTGAACCTGCGTCATCTTTGGTGACAAAAGAGTTTCTCTCCGTCTAAAAGGCGGTGTATACAAGGCCACAGTGAGGGCCGTTCTGCTCTATGGTAGTGAAACTTGGCCCCTTCGGTCTGAAGATCTGAGGCGCCTTCAAGTCTTTGATCATCATTGTCTGTAAAGCATTACTGGTGTCGGATGACACTAGCGTGTTCGCAACGATGATGTGCGTAGGCGAGTACTAAGTAGTAATAATCATGCTAGCTTCTTCGAACAACAGATAGCACTGAATAAGTTGCGTTGGCTGGGGCACGTGCTACGTATGGCTAGTCACCGCTTATCTAGGAAGGCCTTGTCTTGTCTGCCATATGTAGTGTGACGCAAGGCTCGCAGTGGACAGAAGTTGACTTGGCAGCGTGAAATGAAGCCACTTACGACCAAACTGGGTGCCGGTGTGTCCGCTGCGAGCCATGCCGCGAAAGCCTGGAGGCAAGCACAAGCGATCGCTTGTGCTTGCCTCGAGGCTTCCGGGGCAAGGCTCGCAGCGGACACACCGGCACCCAGTTTGGTCGTCAGTGACTTCAGTTCACGCTGCCAAGTCAACTTCTGTCCACTGCGAGCCTTGCGTCACACTACATTTGGCAGACAAGACAAGGCCTTCCTAGATAAGCGGTGACTAGCCATATGTAGCACGTGCCCCAGCCAACGCAACTTCTTCAGTGCTATCTGTTGTTCGAAGCTAGCATGATTATTACTATTTAGTACTCGCCTACGCGCATCATCGTTGTGAACACACTAGTGTCACCCGACACCAGTAATGATTTACAGACTTGAAGGCGCCTCAGATCTTCAGACCGAAGGGGCCAAGTTTCACTACCATAGAGCAGAACGGCCCTCACTGTGGAATTGTATACACCGCCTTTTAGACGGAGAGAAACTCTTTTGTCACCAAAGATGACGCAGGTTCAAGGCATTTGCAATGCGTGAAGTGACTTCAGTTTCCATGCGGCCATGGTGGCTGATGTAGCTACCAAGGTAAGTGAATCGATCAAACTACTCGAGCTCCTCGTTATCAAAGGTTAAGGGATCACCAAGTGGCTGGTGGTCCTGCAGCAACACTTTGAAGGTGCGAAGCGCATACCAAAAAATGAGACCACTCTAAACCAACTATTCTGAATTGATTGGGCCGCCTCAAGATCGTCAAAAAGTAAGACGCTATGGCCCGTATAATCAACATCAACTAGCCAAGTCACCCAGACCTAGACAAGAGAACGATTAGGGTACTCAACCAGAGCCTTTGGCTCAAAAGCCTGTCCGCAAGGTAGCGGATGTGGCAACGATACAGTTTTACAGAAATGGACGCCATCCCATTTCAAAACCCCTAACTTGGAGGACCAAGAAACTGAGTTTGTCTGAGCTCTAACCATTGAGCAAACTGGCTAGCTCAAAGGAGCCCGGAGGCACCACCCAGAACAGCTCAATGGATCGACGAAGTACACAAACCGTCCAATCTTGTTGCGGCTGGAGAAATATGGTTTTCCTCGCACAATGTGAGAAGTTTTTATCCGTTATGCGAGCGGTCCCGATCGAGCGCGTGGTGACCACCAAGGGGAGGTTCATATGATAACAGGCCGTCAATCCATACATTGAAATCCCCAGCGAGAGTAACGACATCCCAGTCGTTAACATCACGCAAGAGCTGACGAAACTCTCGATATGTCGTCCTTGACGGAAAAAATATAACAGCCAGCTGGAGTGCATGCAAAGAACACAAACATGTCGCTTATCTCTCCGCGACTTGTGTTGATTATACAAAAACCCCGAAGCTGAACTGCACACAGTCGGTTGTTGATCGGGTACCAGTTCAGCAGTGCAGTCTCGGCCTTACCACTTGGCATTGTACCTACACCATCCAAACCAGACGAGGTTGCTTCTGGATCTCCAGAAAGACGCAGGTGATATGTGGCTCCATGGCCAGCGGGGTACGTCAGCATAAGCAGAGTGCTGGGATCATGCAATCGGGTTCCGGAAGCGCAGCAGACATCAACATCGAGAGGACTATATGGCGCGAGCCAGACCGGTTTGTTATCTAATCTGAATGTGTCCGCAAGTTGAAGTACGCCAGACCGAACAGGGATCGAGATCGAAGGAGAGCCACAGATTGAACTACATGGTTCTGATACAACCGGAACCTCAGACAGATCCATGAACACAGAAAGCAGGTAACGTGAAGAGCGATTGTTAACAAATAAAGTTAGCGTGTGATGACGTCGTGTGAATGCAAGAAGAGGAAACGATGGCAGATGAGTACAGTGTAGAACAGCCTATGGGTAAAAAATAGGGGTTTGTAGTGGAAAGAACAGGCATCTTAAGCCGTTATAACGTGGGCAACATTGAATATACCGTATCCAACATAGTGCCATCTTCCTATACCGAAAAGCGCGTCGCAAATAAGACCTTAACGAGTAGGAAGTGTGCACCGTCCCCTCAATATTTATTTGATGGTTGGCAATAACCGGGTAACATGTGTAAAGAGAGAAAGAAGAGAATACAGATGCAGCAAGACGAAAAGGAACCGAGGTAGTTCTGTTAGGCGAGGGGGCATAAAACGGACTACAACACCAAAGTGTAAGTGTAAGGGATATGACCTAAATCAACCACGAAGCACCGAATTCGCATGACGGAACGTAAACACGCATAAGCAATATTGAGGGAACAACGCATGCTTAGTAAACTTTATGTACAGAATACTGCTACGCTCGTTGCTACGCAGCGGTAATGTTAAGCTAAAAAGCAGGTATATGAATGGAAAGGCGGAGAAAACGGCGACAAACGCATCTCAAAAATTAAGCATTACTGCGGCTTAGGAACAGCGGATATCCAATAAGATAAAAAGGCTCTCACCTACCCTTGTGATGTTGGTCATTCGCTTCGTAACCGAACTGAGGAGAAGCAGGCCAGTGTTGATTTCCTCATGGCTGGAGCCGCCATGTCCACCCCGGTCGTTCACACCGTGGTCGCCAGTCAAGACGAACAACCAATGCTCACCAGTTTCAGATCCCAATTTAAACTACGTGATGGAACCAGAAACAAAAAATGATGATGCGATACGCTTGAGTGTGTAGAAAGGACACTACATCCACATCATACCGGACTCACAAGAAGATCGATGATTCGTCCAGCAACTCTGTCCATTTCAAGTAGCTTGGCCCGTACACTGCGACCGTGTGGCCCCTCAACATGGCCAATATGGTCTAATCCGAGATAATGAAGAATCAGGCCGCTCCATTCACCAGCGCGCTCTTTCAGATGTTCTAAGTGTCGCGTAACATTTTGATCAACCTAAAAGTAACAAATTAACCACGTGCCATCATATCAGCACAGCGGAATCAACTAAAATTCTTATAGCTGTAACACAAATATGGTTTATTTCTCGATGACGCGAAATGCATCCAACTGTAATACTTCTGATCATGCATTTTATGTTGCGGCATCAAAAGTGTGCTAAAACAACAAAACAAATATGTACAACGGTTCACAATGTATGAAAGGTCAGACAGAAAATAAGCAAGCAACGCATGAGGGTCGTATAAGACCGGTAGACAAAAAATGGACAAAAGTCTTGGATGAATGCATACCGTTGCTTCGGTGGGGTGCTCAAAGTGCTTAAGAAGAGTAAAGTCAAGTGCACCTTGAGAGCGTAGAAAGCGTGCGAACTCCAGATGTTATTAATTGATAACGGACAAGCTCAGTCGATTTAGCGAAGAGGGCGAAGACATAAAATTGCGCACTAAAATAGTCCCATAATCTGCTTGCCTGGAAAACATGCTACCACATTTTAAAGTCGTCATCAGTTAGTGCAATGAGTGAAAGAGACTAGCATCGTGCATTCGCATAAGCATCCTCTTCGTGTGTTAAGGCATAATAAACTAATATGTAAATGAACAGACATGTATTCAATTCTAACCAACTGAAGCAGATGAGCAATTCACGTATCAAGAGTCGCACTGCCCCCAGTGGTTGAATCAGCGAATGACGCGTAAGGCGCTTCCGTTTGCATCACCTGACTTTTCAGTCTTGGTAACTCAGCTTACCAGCCGAATACAGAGAAGAGACGTCTCAGTCGCGGCCAACAATGTTGTATAGATAACAGTAAAAGCCGTCAAGCACGGAAAGCAACTCGTCGACAGTACCCACGAAATGTTGCTCACACCTGGAGTGGTTACTTACTGAGTTCTCGCTAAGGCAGTCCAGTGTATGTAAGGCATTGTCCTCTCTCTATACTGCACTCCAGGACCGATTTGATACTTAGTTGCACTCATTAGGACTGCAACTCAACTTCAGTCACCACCTCACGGAGAGCAACACAGCCGAGTGCACTCTGGTAAAAGGGCATTTACTAAATGACATGACCTGAAAACATGGAGTTGGAGCCCCAAGATGGCTAGAGAGCAGAAAAAGGAGAGAGAAGCACGTGAATAACATTTCTTATGAAGGAATGATGGACTGATCACAACGGTAGTTCGAAGGCATAACACAGATCGCAGTTGGAAAGTCGATACCTTGTATTAGATCCCAGACATTCGGTTCAAAGATGAAAAGATATCGTTAACCCATTATGTCTGCCTTATGGTTTGTTTGAACTGTGCGTAGTAGCAACCTTCGCAAGTTTATCACCAATAGGATAGAGCGAGAAATGGAGTTTGGATAGTCGCAGTCAAATACATCGGCAATAATTCCGAGATGAAAGTAGAATGAGCTCTAACAGACTATCGTAGCACGTGTGTAGTGGGGACGATGCGTAGGATGTTCACTGTGAGATCCAGCATAAACTGAGTGAGGATTTGCAGGTAAACATAAAGCCTCTACCAAATAATACATACCAAGTGTGATGAAGGTGGTGAATTCGAGTACAATTGTGTACAGACATAGCAGCGCTACAGAATCCAAAGAGTAGGAATGCATGAAAGAAAGAAATAAGAAGCCAAGAAAGCTGGAGTGGATGGAAGGTGGTGAAAGGTAAATGCACAGAAAAAGATAAGGCACAGATAGAATGCGACATTGTGGACAATCGTCTTGAATCCAAAGCACTCACTACGCCAGTATGGTAGTGGGCAGATAAGCCGGGAACAAGGGTGCAGCCCCGATCTGTTTAGGCAAAGATCAAAGGGATTTCTGCTGAAAGTTTGCGAAATTGTTAAAAAACTAAAATACTAAAACTCCAATAATATTCGAACCTGCAGATAGCGGCCTCCGGTCGGTTATTTTTGGCTGTGTTGACAAGA